TCCTCATCTTCCCAGTAGTCAGGGCACTGCAGTGCTGCGTTCGCGAAGTGGACGTATTGGGATGGAACTTTCTCGACAACATCGTTCAGCAGGAGGTCACTGAGCTTTCGGAAAGGCTGCCGCAGCGCCAGCCACTGCCCAAACCATCGATCATTGAAAAGCGACACGGTGTCACAGGCCATCTCCATGCCAGGCCACGGTGCGATGAGAGGAACCATCGGACCGCCGTAGCGGCAGGGCGGCATCTGCTGCGCGTAAAGGTAGAGCCACATTTCTGGCTCTGCAGGCTGGTAGTCGAAGAGGACCCTACGTGCCACGGAGAAGGCGGAGGCTTCATCATTCAGCCACTCGCGCGCGAAGCTATCAGAGAACTTCGGTGTGTAGGTCGCTACATATCTGAGGAGCAGCCCTTTCGTCACTTCCAAGGTCTCCGGGAAGAACGCTCGGTGCCCTTGCTTCTTATCCGCCTCTGTGTGGCGCAAACGGACGATATTCTCGTCGGGGTCCCACCTCGACTCGCCATCCTCGACGGGCCAACCGCTGTCACTGCGGCCATGGGGCCGGCCCAGCATGTAGCCGCGCAGGGCCGGCTGCTCTGCAACGTCAGGAACGGTTGCGGCAAGCTTACGCTCGAGTCCGATGTGCTCCACATTCTGAAGATAGTCACAAGGCTATGCACATGCACTCGGCCGCTGCCATGGTAATCCTGCGTCGGCAGCTTTCGCTTGCCGTCCTGAAATTCAAGCCGCTGGAAGTAGTTGATGACGGTCTTGACGCGGCCCTCCTCCGGCTGAGTCGAGGCAAGAAGATGATCCTTCCAGCCATCCTGTGCCGAAGTCTTGTTGCGCCCGGAGTAGAGGCCACGATTCAGCTCCGTGAAGACCTGGGCTGTGTGAAGCGTCTCCAAGCCAGCCAGCTGCATCCTGCCCCGGCCGCCCTTCTCCATCTCGTCCAGGACGAAGAGGTGGTAAGGGAAGCAGTGCTCCCACGGGGCCATAGTCTTGAAGAGAGCAGGGAAACCACACTGCCGTTGCATGTCGACGAGTGCCTGGTGCTTGCTCTTCCAGTACAGTGGGGAGAAGGTTTCTCCCTTCAGGACCAGGCGCAACGGCATGCCAGCGGGGGGACGCTCCAGCAAGGTCCCAGGGACCCGCCAGCAAAAACCCTTGGGTTTAGGGTTTCTATTTTATAACACCTCCGTAGGAGGCCCCCGACAGGGACTTCATTCATGGTGGCAGTCGCCCAGC